AAACTCCGCGGTCAGCTTCAAAGGCTTTCTATCTCCCAGTCAGCGCTGTTGCTACGCACGATGGAACACTGCGATCCGTGACTTTCGATGCAGGAAAACGAAAGCTACTTCCAGTCAGCTTTCTTCTGATATTTCACGTGAAATAGGCCTCTCCTGACGGGCTGCAAACCCATGGAAAAAGAGAAAGAGTCTTTTCGCGCTGCGCTTTTTAACCCATGGATGACGTGCGGGAACTTCCTGTCTGCGCATCGGCTGATTGGTCCGTGCTGTGAGTAACGTGGGGTAGTTCCATTGTGGACAAGAACAAAAGGGGGTAGTTCAGGTGGCAACGGAGATGGTTCAGCCCACTGATTTAGTAATATGTTGGTAATATATCTCAACAGTAGGCATTAATTTCTAAAAACGTTTATTTGAATTGTAGAAATCAGTTTTCTGCCTTATAGAAATGATGAACTTCACGGCAGCATTCTATACCCAGCAACTGTTGTATCTAGGCTAGAGCTGTCAGTCTAGTAGAGAATCTGGTTGCCACTCAAAATTCTAAAGGTTAACTATTTTATAAATTGGATGATAAAACTCACTAAAACTAGACTAAAACCTTTTTGATTTTTAGTGACTAAAACCGACTAACACTATCAGATACGTATACTAATGACTAAAATGTGACTAAAACTGATAATAGTTTTCATCCTGAAGACTAAAACTAAGACTAAATCTAAGGGGATGTCAGAAACAACACTGCAGAGAACAAATACAGAATAAAAATAAGATCTGGAAAGCAGCAAAAGCACAAACAGAAAAGTGAATTACTTAAACTGAGAGTGCACCACATGTTAACTAAGAGTCTTTATTTCCTTCTTAGATGGGATTCAGGCTGGAACACACAGAGGAACATGTGGAGGAACACAGAGGAGAACAGAGCAGGGTCTCTATCACCCAGCTGTGTTTCTATGAAGAGTGACCGGTCAAAAGATCCTCTTCTATGGTTCAGGAATGATCCTGGAGCAGCAGATCTAAGGTGAGTCCTCTGCTACTTGATGCTATAATCATGTTTAAACATTATAAACCTGCTTCCCTCGGCTCTCGTCTGGTTAACCTGACAAGGATGAAGAAAAGAAGAGCTTAAACAAAGATATTCTCTCTGATGAATCCGACTGATTGAGTCATGATCTGCTGGACTTATAGCAGAGTTTTTTTTTTTATTATTATTGATATCAATGTTTTTATTAACCAGAGAAACCGTTTGAAGAACACAAGAAAAGTTGCTCTATATATTAAGTTGTGTTGATTGATTGTTAGATTTTGCCTCCAAAACACCTTGGTAGCTTTTTAAACTGCTGATTGTGTCCAAATAGCATCAAATATGTTGAACTCTATTTGATGCCATGTTCTACAATTGGCTTTGGATGAGTTTTTTTCACAAACAATGTTAGCATATTTAATATTTTTATGCCTTATGCTCCATCTTGTGCTCCATATTTAGTTTTCCTGGGGTAATTTCCCAGAATGATAAATATTGGTCATATCTGAAGCCATTGCTGCTGTTTATACTGGTTCTAAGGACAGAAAGTTTCAGACCTGGAAAAGCAGAATCTAATATGAGGTAAAGAGGAGACATCAAGGATGGAGGAGGAAGGAAAATGAATAATAAGTAATCTGTGAGCTGCATGTATGAAATCTTCATCTGCAGAAACGTCGCTTTTACAGTTTTCCAGAGGTGGATCATCCAGGTCCAGAAAGTAAAAACCCTGCCTTGTTTTCCTTCACCCTGTTCACTTAAACAGGTGATCAGCCCCTCTGCTGATTAGTCTGCATGATGGAGATGGAAATGCAAATGGTTGGAACTGATCTCTGTACAGACTTTTTACTTTCTGCACCTGGATTATCCACCTCTGCAGTTATCCAACCATGAGGGAAGGAGCAGGATAAAGACATGACTCACACACAGAGCTTCTTGGAACAATTGTTAGATCCTAATGACAACAATCCCTGATTATACTACTTATTTATTAGACATGAGTTTGTGCAAGTTAACGTCCATCCCTAATAGATTATAACAACAATATAATACAATACAATACAATACAATACAATCCTGTAAACCAGACATCATCCACCCAGCTTCTGGTCCTCTGTAGTTGACCTTCATGAACATCTTCAGCTTCAGTAGGACACCCCCCACCCTGTTGGTAGTGAACTATTTCAGTGATGAAGAAATGTCTCCACAGACGGAGGAAGAGGAGCAGCGTTTGTGAGGAGGAGCAGCTGAACTGCTGCACTTTATGCCAGAACCTCCTGATGGATCCAGTCTCTACCAGCTGTGGACACCGGTTCTGCAGACAGTGCATCAGGTCCTACAGGGTCCAGTCTGCTCCATCAGGACCCTCCTCCTGCCCCCAGTGTGGGAAAAGAGCCAGAACCGGAGCTGGACCGTTGACAGCCAATCAAAGCAGCCGTGCAGCAGGTAAGACTGAACATCTCCAATCAGAGCTTCCTTCTATCGTCTCTGTTGAACCAATTCCACGTCTTTAGTTGGATTTGGAGACTGAAGCTTTTCAAAGTCTTTCTGGGATCAGTTATTCCAACTAAATCTCTGTATTTCCAGATGCTGTAAATGAACCGTCTGTGTTCCACCAAACAACCCATTGGGTTTGCTTAACTGGTTCTGTTTTCAGTCCTTTAGGCTAAATACATTAAAACTGAACATCTCCTTAAAACTAGAGCTATTTTTGATGCATGAAAACAAAAAGGTGCAGAAAGCAACCTGCTGCTCTGCTGCTTTTCCAAGGAGAGGGAAGAAAAGTCTGAGAGACAGAAACCTGGATTTCCTCTGACAATAGATCACTGATTACAGGATATATATTTCTATTTACACCATAGAATCATTCTAACAATCTTCTAAAGGACCAATTAAGTCCCATGTCATTTTCAGTCTGTAATTATTCTTTAAAAACATCCAATCCAGTCTCTGAGAGAGAAATGCCATTTAAATGTGAACACTAGCTGCTCCAATGAGCTTGGTGTGGAACAGGTAAGGAACAGGATCCAGATGAGATGCAGGACACCTCCTCATAGAAGAAAGGTCCGTTTAATAGACACAGTCTGAACCAGGAACACCACGAGACGATGAGGTTAAGACATATATACGTGCCACAGGGAACAAACAGGAACATAAAGGCATGCATGGGTAATTACAGACCTATGGACAGCTGGATAAATGAAGGAGGGAGAAACCAATCAGAGGGAGAACAGGGAAAACAAAGAAACACAGACATGGACCATGACCGTTTCTCTGCTAGATTAGAGCATTTCCCATATTTTCCTTCATTAATGCTGGAAAATGATGAGGAAACCTTTTTCTTTCTCTCTGCCTCTTCTGGGGCTGCTGTGTTTGTGGCAAAAGGTCCAATTGAACCAGTCCAATGAGGACAATGGTGACATGATGCTAAAGAGTTGATGTTGCTGAAAGCTGCTGCTGGTTTCTGTCAGCATTTCTTTGTCTTCTCTGCTTTTGGAATCAGATTCTGACAGGGAACAGATACTGAACAGAAAACAAAGGCAGAAAGATGCTGTCTGACAATTGAACATGGTTCTGGTTCTGAGGACCGATCAGCTCATTTAGCATCAGATCAAGTGAAGGAAGAGACCTTCTAATGATAGCACCTCCTAATGTTCTAGATGGTTTGGTTCCAACTTCATCTCTGAATCAGGTTTTTTCCTTCAGTTGTCTTTTCTTCTGTGTTTCAGCAGATGTTGGTCTGCAGGAGGTTCTTGAGGAACATAAGATCAGTCTGAGGAGGAGATGTGAACATGTGGCTGACGGAAGTGATGAAACAGGAAGTAGAACCCTCCTCAACAGGATCTACACTGATCTCTACATCACAGAGGGGCAGAGTGAAGAGGCTAATACCCAACATGAGGTGAAGCAGCTGGAGAGAGCATCCAAGATCCAGAACCTCCATGGTTCTCCAATCAGGTGCCATGACATCTTTAAAGCTGTCCCTGACCAACATGGAGCCATCAGAGTGGTTCTGACCAATGGCGTCGCTGGTGTTGGAAAAACCTTCTCAGTGCAGAAGTTCACTCTGGACTGGGCAGAGGGCTTGGAGAACCAAGATGTCAGTGTGGTGGTTCTGCTTTCCTTCAGGGAGCTGAACTTGATCAGAGATCAGCAGCACAGTCTTCTCACGCTGCTCCATGTTTTCCATCCAACCCTCCAGAAGCTCCCAGCAGAGAAGCTGGCTGTCTGGAAGCTTCTCTTCATCTTTGACGGCCTGGATGAAAGCAGACTTTCTTTGGACTTCAGCAACAATCCGCTTGTTTCTGACGTCACACAGAAGTCACCAGTCAACGTTCTGCTGATGAACCTCATTAAGGGGAACCTGCTTCCCTTAGCTCTCGTCTGGATAACTTCCCGACCTGCGGCGGCCAATCGGATCCCTTCTTCCTGTGTTTCCAGGGTAACAGAAGTACGAGGCTTCACTGACACCCAGAAGGAGGAGTACTTCAGGAGGAGGTTCAGTGATGAAGAGGAGAAGGACAGCAGGATCATCTCCCACATCAAGACCTCCAAGAGTCTCTTCATCATGTGTGGGATCCCAGTGTTCTGCTGGATCACTGCTACCGTTCTGGAGAACCTGTTGACCACAGAGCAGAGAGGAGAGCTGCCCAAGACCATGACTGACATGTACTCACACTTCCTGCTGGTCCAGACCAGGAGGAAGAAGAACAAGTACCATGAAGGACATGAGGCGAGTCCACAGGAGCTGATGGAGGCTGACAGGGAAGTTCTCCTGAAGCTGGGGAGGCTGGCCTTGGAACATCTGGAGAAAGGAAACATCATGTTCTACCAAGAAGACCTGGAGCAGTGTGGTCTGGATGTCACAGAGGCCTCGGTGTTCTCAGGAGTTTGTACAGAGATCTTCAAAAGAGAGAGCATGATCTTCCAGAAACCAGTCTACTGCTTTGTTCATCTGAGCGTCCAGGAGTTTCTGGCTGCAGTCTACATGCTCCACTGCTTCACCAGCAGGAACACAGAGGTGGTGGAGAACTTCCTGGGAGGAAAATACAGAGAAACATCTCTGGAGGACTTCTTGAAGAAAGTCATGGAGAAATCCCTCTGGAGTCCAAATGGCCACCTGGACCTGTTTGCTCGCTTCCTCCATGGCCTATCTGTAGAGTCCAACCAGAGCCTCTTAGGAGGCCTGCTGGGTCAGATGGAGAAAAGTCCAGGAACCATCCAGGGAGTCATCAACAATTTGAAGAAGATGAACACTTATAGAGTCTCTCCTGATAGAAGCATCAACATCTTCCAGTGTCTGATGGAGATGAAGGACCTCTCAGTTTATCAGGAGATCCAAAAGTTCCTGAAATCAGAGAACAGATCACAGAAGAAGCTCTCAGAGATCCAGTGCTCAGCTCTGGCCTACATGCTGCAGATGTCAGAGGTTCTGGATAAGTTAGACCTGGAGAAGTACAACACATCGGATGGAGGACGGCTTCGACTGGTTCCAGCTGTGAGGAACTGCAGAAAGGCTCGGTGAGTCCAGATGTCTTCATGGTGTGATGCTGATTCAGCTCTATTGTCCTCCTTGTTCTTCTTCATTGTTCTAGTTGCTTCTGGACATTTTTGCTCTTTAACTTCTTCCTTCCTCCTTTGGACTATTTCAACCATTCACACATCTAAACATTCATGTCCTTCAGGACAGCTCTGCTGGAGCTTTTGGTGTTTAAACATTTGGATTATTTTCAAAATATTCCATTTTGGATCAGTTTCCATCTTCCATTGAAATTAATAGAAAACCTTCAGAATGTTGAAAATCTGTTTTATCTAAAGATCCAATGAGCCAGAGACCCATCAGAACATTTAAACTCCTTTTTGCCCATTGGGTTGTTAGCCCAGAATTCACCTTTTTAGTTTCTTTGTTTTTATAAAATCACTGTTTAGCTTTGATGGAAATTTGGACCATACAGATCAATCCCTTCATTGCTGCTGTTGCCATGGAGATGAGTTCTTTGGATCCAGAAGCAACTTTTCTTCCTGCCACAGATTTCCCTGTGAGTTTGTAAATTAGAGCCAAAATGTTTTGATGAGTGTCTAGTTTCAGAAAATGTCATTTCTGTAGGAGTCCTAGTTTCTGTCAGATCCTCCCAAAGCTCTGAGAACTCTGCTTCCAGAATTTGGAACCATTTTCCTCATCAACACTTAATCTGCAGCCTTTGTTGAAGCTGTTAGATGTCCTCCATAAAGACCTGTAGAGACATGAGCTTTAGCACTTAAGACATTCCAGCCTCTTCTAATTACTGGGAGAACTTTCACTGCTTTCTGCCTTTGGAAATTCTCAGTCACATACTCACCAACATTAGGTTGTGATAAATAGGGAGTGTTTTTTATCAGTGTTTTGCTCCACGGGGTAATTATTTTTCATTCCTGGACTTTTTATTTAAAAATTGATGAAGGAACATTATTCTGAAATTATAGTTTCATTTACATCTAATAAATGATTTTAAGGACAGTGAAAAAAGCAGTTTTAATCGTTGAAATAAGAACCAGAGACTAAATAATCAGGCAGTTCCACTGCAATGCATTTAGTCTGCAGTATTGCAGATCCCATTAAAAAGAGTGAACCACTGACTGCCACCATCTAAAGGATTAATTGGCTGCTGCCATGAAGAAAAGTGGCCACAGCTGCTGAACATGAACTTCAAATTAATGCAAAAAAGAAAATGTATTAAAATCTAATTTCATAAAATAAATAGTTAAATTTAATAACAGCAGAGATGCATCCATGGATATACAGAAAAGCCTGTGTGGATATATATATGTATCTGGCTACCGGGTTGCCAGATACTGAGACATATATCCTGGGACGTAACCATCATGTCAGAAGTGAGGAGGACATATTGTTCAGAGTGATTTATCCGTCTCTAGCATCAATTTCATCTTTCCTTAGTGGCTAAAGCTCCATATAATTCCCCAACAGCCACAGTTTAACACCAGGGGATGAGCTAGGCTACTTCTTTAAACTATATACTAAAACATTTAGAGTTTTAGCTGCCAAACCTTATTGTAGTGACATAATGAGCCTTGGACATCTTGAACTAGTAGCCAGAAGAGCCAAACACTGAACATCAGTAATCCTCCATTCCTGTGATCCAATAATTACTCAGCAAACAGCATTAAATGGGAGTGACAGGCTAATAAGCCTCATCATTTAATGTAATTGTTTGTCCAGAAAAGGTTTCTGTGGATCAGCTCCTGTTTGAGTGCCATCTAGTGGAGGAAGAAGGTATTGCAGAAACACCTTGGATTTCAACATTACATTTTGGTTTCACCTGTTCCAGACACTGTTTTGTTGTCAGATTTTGACTTTAAATAAAACAAAAATTCATGTTGATATGGGCATTTCCAGCCCTACCTGCTGGGATTATTTCCAGCTACATTCATCCTCCCAGTTTAGATGTTCTTCATCCTCCTCCTCATCATCACATCCTTCCCTCTTCCAGCCCTACGGGAGAAGCTTGTTAGAAACCATCACGGGTTTGACATCAGTAACCTTGGCTGATTTCATTAGAACTGATTTCTCCTCTAATCACAGACTTGGTGGCTGTGAGCTCCGTGAGGCTGAATGTGAAGTTGTGGCCTCAGCTCTGAAGTCCAACCTTCATCTGACGGAAGTGGAAATAGAGAAGATCTATGGAGATGAATCCTTTGGAGACACTATGATGAAGCATCTGTGTGAGATACTGGAGAGTTCAATCAACAGAGTGAAGAACCTGGAGTGAGTTTTCTCTGTTTACTCAAACCGAATCATTCACTGATACTTTAATGCTGATTTTAATTAATCGTTGTATTCTAATATTTTTTCTTTAAAAACAGCTGCTTACCAAATATCAGAGTACAATTTCTCGAAATGTTAACCTTGTAAATGAATTATTTTCCTGTTCCACATGTTCTAAATATTGCACTTTATTTTCCTGATGTTCAAACTTTCAAATGTTTTGGACTGATGGAGAAAAATGAGGAAAATCAGTCAAATGATGTTAAGTAATGATGGAGATTTTTCAGTTTGATTTGGGGAAGATTCAGATGATGAGCCAAGATAAGATGGCTTTATTTTTCATTTCTGATTCACATCTTTCCATCCAGAATGACATTTGGTTCCATTAGAGTAGAACCAGAACCACAAACATGTTAGAATAACTAGAATCAAATAAGATGATCTAGGAAGAAAAGACAAAGACATGAAATCTTTGTCCTGAAGCTGCTGTTCTGTGGGAGCGGGTCATAGAGAACCCATCCTCTTAAATCTGTCAGCTTTCCGAATCGCTTGGAGACACAAATACTTAGTTACTGAACTCAAGCAGCTTTTTATTTCTGACTTATTTACTTTTTATTTACTTCAGTATGAAGAAAATAACCAATGGTCCTTGGACTAGTGTTTATCACCTGCCGGGGTCACATATTCTGCTGCAATGTTTTCATAGAAAGTTTTAATCTGCATCCTGCTGAATTCAGCTAAAATAGTTTATTCTTTATTCAGATTGAGGGACTGCAGATTGTCAGAGATCAGCTGGGCTTCTCTGGGCTCAGCTCTGAAGTCCAATCCATCCCATCTGACAAAACTGGTCCTGAGTGGAACCAACCTGGACCCTGGAATAAAGGAGCTCAGTGGGTTTCTCCAGTCTCCCCTCTGCAAACTACAGACATTGAGGTCAGATGTAGTATATTTGTTTATTCTAATAACATTACAATGCATTACATCCAGTACATTACAGTACAGTAACATTACTTTGATCAGGGGCCCTCCTCTAAGTCACTGATTCTCAACCAATTTAACATGCACTGCTATCCCCCCCAATCTGATTAATATAGTTATACATTGCATGTATATAATAAGACAAGCCTTTACTCACATTAGCTTTTAGTCTATTTATCGTCTTATTTAGAAACACATTGGGACATTTTGAAAACCATAAAGCTGCAATAAGATTCTAATTTCTGTGTAATGATGGAGGCAGGCCCACATCCCTGGACTGAGCAGCTGTTCTGCCCGTTAAAGGAAAGACAAACTGCCAGTCCGTCCCTGCATGGAGCTCCTAGTTCACAGTCAAGGGGCCCGTGTTCCTGAACAAAGTCCAGCCCTCTGGAGGCCAATAAACAGACTTTCACCACTTAGACATCAGCTAGAAAAGAAAAGTTGCTGCTCCGTGCTGATTAGCTGCTAAAAGAGCCACTTCCTGCCAACTTTGAGCTGAAATCATGGCGCTCTGCCTCACATCACCTCCCTGATCAGAGAAAGTGGGAGTTTATTTACAGTCACTTAGAAGAACGGCATGAAGTGAGAAATATGAGGAGGGAAAGAAGATCACCTGCTTAAATCTGCATTTCATCTCTTGAGCTTGGAGCTCAAAATAAAAATAGTTGTTAGGAGTTTTTTTTTTTATTTAAAGGGCCTCTATCCTGTAAAATCAACTTGTTAAAGTATTTAACTAAGTGAAGGCCCTGTCCTGCAAACCTTACTGTCATTTTCCACCTTTGAAGCCGTTTGAATAGAGTTTTGTTCCCGTACTTTCTAGCGACTCCTCTGGGCTTTATCTCCATCTCAGTATGGAAGCAGCTGTGTACCGGTGTTATACTATATTCAGTGACCCTGGCCAAAGAGAGAATGTGTTCAGTGATGCTGTATGATTGGGCCAGCACATTGTCAGTAAGGAAAATAACCAATGGTCCTTGGGCTAGTGTTAATCACGTGCCGGGGTCACATATTCTGCTGGAATGTTTTAATCAAAATTTTTTATCTGCATGCCATAAAATTCTAGCCTGACGTAGTCCGACTCAATTCTAGTCAGAATATGAGTCTGAT